CCTATAACACACACTACCTGAGCAGCACACTCACTGTACCTCCCCACACCTCCTATAACACACACTACCTGAGCAACACACTCACTGCAGCACCCCACACCTCCTATAACACACACTACCTGAGCAGCATGCTCACTGCAGCTCCCCACACACTACCTGAGCAGCACACTCACTGCAGCTCCCCACACCTCCTATAACACACACTATCTGAGCAGCACACTCACTGCAGCTCCCCACACCTTCTATAACACACAGTGATAGTCGTCTTATTTATTCAAAAAGATTTGGAAAAAATCAAGTTTTCCACTAGACTAAAATCTCAGAAAAGTTTGTTTTCATAAATAAGCCAACCTGCAATAAATTCACATTAATTCCTTTTAAATACTTGTGAAATATAAAACCCTATAACCTTATTTGTTTTCTTAATGTCTGAAAACAAGACAAATCTCATTCTTCATGCCATAAAAAATAAAAAGAAACGTAGTAAAGGTGTAAGTAATAAAATATCTGGTTTCCTTCACACGATGTCCATTCCTTACCTTGTATTTGGAGCGTGGAGCCGAGTTCTGGGTCGTATTGTGCGGCATGATGCAGCCACTCTCTCTGTGTCAGCCCCGGGCTGTCTGTCAGCTGAGGAAAGCCATGGAAACTTAAACTGTCCATTCGAGTTTTACAGGACGATTCCCGAGCAACACACACAGACACACACAGACACACACACAGTGTCTAATATCTCAAATCTGCTCCCTCCTACCGAGCCTGTCAGTACCTGATCACAGAGATAACCCCAATCCCTTCCGTTACCGCAACAAAGAATATACTGTCATATTTCTGGGAAGTGGACATATTTTCTTGCATAGAATTTCTTTAGATGTATTTTTGCAATCTAGTTTGAATGCAGGATTTACAAAGAAAGCTATATTCATTTTTCAATATATTTTTAAAAATATATATCTTTTGGCTAAACACGTAACTAAGTCATACGCACAGGTGGAGACATATTTTAAATTCATTCTATTTTAAGAAGATGTCCGGATAAAATCATAAAGCTAAGATCATTAGCAGATTTCAGTAGCGCACCTCTCACTTTAAAATTAAAGTGTCCCTCTGGGAGTCCTAACATTTCAAATGGACAAAGATGGACACTAATTTTAGGGGTGTGAGTGGAGGGGAGCCAGGGGTGGGACTGAAATAAGATATTTTAGGTTACTTAATAATGACAATTTTTGTAGCTAAAATGTATTCTAGAAAATGAACAAAGTATCTTATATACACAGAGTGTTCTCTAAACACATTTATTGTAGTTCAAAAGACACATTACTGGGAGTATTATTGCTGTGGGGCTCTGTTATACACTCAGACACATTGCTGGGAGTATTATTGCTGTGGGGCTCTGTTATACACTCAGACACATTACTGGGAGTATTATTGCTGTGGAGCTCTGTTATACACTCAGACACATTACTGGGAGTATTATTGATGTGGGGCTCTGTTATACACTCAGACACATTACTGGGAGTATTATTGCTGTGGAGCTCTGTTATACACTCAGACACATTGCTGGGAGTATTATTGCTGTGGAGCTCTGTTATACACTCAGACACATTACTGGGAGTATTATTGCTGTGGAGCTCTGTTACACTCAGACACATTACTGGGAGTATTATTGCTGTGGAGCTCTGTTATACACTCAGACACATTACTGGGAGTATTATTGCTGTGGAGCTCTGTTATACACTCAGACACATTACTGGGAGTATTATTGCTGTGGGCTCTGTTATACACTCAGACACATTACTGGGAGTATTATTGCTGTGGAGCTCTGTTATACACTCAGACACATTACTGGGAGTATTATTGATGTGGGGCTCTGTTATACACTCAGACACATTACTGGGAGTCAGGGCCGGCGCGTCCATAAGGCGGCACAGGCGGCCGCCTTAGGGCGCACGGGCTCTGGGGGCGCAATATTTCAGTGACCGGCAGGAGGGAAGCTCTCCCTCCTGCCTGGCCACCATCTCGAACCCCGGCGCGGCGTGCGGCAGTGCTGTGATCAGACGCGGCGAGGGAGCTCTAACCTCTCTGCTCTGCTCCCTCGCGCGCTGTCTGCTGATGCCACGGGAGCCGGAATATGACGTCATCAACCCGGCTCCCGCGGTATCAGAAGGCAGCCGCGA